TGTATTATCAGCTGTCATGCTTCACAAGTAGCCTGTGAGACATGGGTTGGATACTCCTGGTCTAAAGCCTCTCTTAGGAGAGTTTTTCCATATACCAATCACAGACATGAAATGCTTTGGTGATCTGAGACAGCAGAGTTTGAAATCCAGACTAGCGGATCCTGTGGCCTCTTCAGTAACTCACATTTTGATGTCCAGGAATACTGTAGTCTGAAGTATTTTACATTAGTAAACAGAGAAAGAAGAGCGTAAGTGAATCCTTCTCTCTCATTCAAAGAAACTTTAATTTCCACTTAATCCCTTATTATATTAAATATGAATTCAAGCCTTTATAATATGAATTACATAAACTGTATGTGATTTGAAATGTTTGTGGATTTTTATTGGTATGACCAAGACTGTTTCATCCCCCGCAAGCCTGCTTGGCTGACCAGTGCCCCATTTTTCATAGAATCATAGAATGGCCTGGTTTGAAAAGGACCACAGTGATCATCTAGTTTCAACCTCCCTGCTGTATGCAGGGTCACCAGCCATCAGACTAGGTGCCCAGAGCCACATCCAGCCTGGCCTTGAATGCCTCCATGGATGGGGCACCCACAACCTCCTTGGGCAGCCTGTTCCAGTGTGTCACCAGCCTCTGAGTGAAAAACTTCCTCCTATCTCTAACCTAAACCTCCCCTGTCTCAGTTTAAAACCACTCCCCCTTGTCCTATCACCATCCACCCCTGTAAACAGTCGTTCCCCCTCCTGTTTATACACTCACTTCAAGTATTAGAAGGCCACAATGAGGTCTCTCTGGAGCCTTCTCTTCTCCAAGCTAAACAAGCCCAGTTCCCTTAACCTTTCCTCATAGGAGAGGTGCTCCAGCCCACTGGTCATCTCAGTGGTCCTACTCTGGACTCCTTCCAAGAGCTCTGCACCTTTCTTCAGGGGCCAGGCTATGTTGTGTGTGACACCAATTCTTCAAGATATTTAACTGGTGTATAAATGTGTTTAATAGATCAACTCACATACGTATATTTAGGCAAATCCATATGAGTCTGGAGGAAGTGAAGCCTTTAAAGGTCAGCCTGTGGTCAGCTATTGGTAGTGCTGAGCTGCCCATTGTGCTTAAAAAGCCATGTCCAAGTAAGTTTTAATTTCTAGAGTTGAAGATGGAGAAGAATGAAGAACTGAAGAGCTGATCCATTCTTCTGCAATTTTCTTGCTGCTGCTTGGTCCCTTCTTTCTAGAGCATTGACCATTTTTGAATAAAGCTTTCACACAGTAAAGAAAACGATCTGTCCAAACTTACAAGCTGAATTAAATATAGAAGCATAGATTCTATAGGATGCTAGGCAGCAAAGGAGGGTGCTCCATGCTTCTTCTGATCATTTCAGTCTTACTCCATATACCTATCAATCAATAAACATACAAGTCCTCTGTCTCTACGGAATGCAATTCAGTGGTCTCTGCAGTTTTTTGCTGAGTTCCAAGCAAAATGTTCAGTTGCTTTTAACCCCCAAAGAATTTGGATTACCTCAGATTTAACTGGCTGTCTAGTTTATCAACATACAGGTCTTGTTAGGCTTTAAGAATTACATATTTTAATTGCTATGTGGTTGTTATTGATTTCCACAAGGGGCATAAATTTTCCTTGTAATTCTGTTCATCCCCCATTGGCTGTCAGTATAACTGAGGAGAACTCCTCATTCAGAAAATGTAACTAGAAAACTGGAAGGAGAGCTAAGACAGACGTCTTGATAAAGACACACATGTAGACAAAGAGGTTATCGACAACATTTTTACTTCAAAGAGGAACACATATGCAAGAAAGTAAACTGAAGTTAACTCACATAATTAGTCCTGGACATTTTTCCCTTTATGTGGGAAGCTCATAGGTCCATGTGAGTCCCCAGAAGAATGAATAGGTGATCAAAATATGTTAATGACCCTACTTTACAGTAATAACCTTATTATTGTAAAGAAGCTGTAATTTTCTCATTAGGAGCCCAGTCTCCAAAAATTAATTACACCAAGTGAGTTAAAAATGTAGTGTCAATAGCAGCAGTATGCTGTGCCCTTCTGGCAGTGAACAGAGTTGATTTTGCAGGGCTTCTGTAGTGTATCCAGTGTGCTTCAGTTCACACTGTGTCTTCAAGCATCTTTGCAGGAAAAGAAATGGCTGTGTAAAGTCTTTAATCTTTTAATTAAGCCTTAAACTGAAAATAAGCTGTAAAAAGCATTAGAGTAGAAAGACGAACA